TTAATTTTTTTGTTTTAAATAATAATATTATAATATAACAAACAACTATAGCTTAATTTGTATTGAGTCACTTCTTATATACTACCTATATATCTATTAATAGTTTATATTATACAATATTTATTTGGTTGCCATTTGTTAATCGGGCAGATCAGATGCAAGCATGCATCAAATCTATTTTTCGCACATTGCCTACTAAGGCGGCCGAGTTGCACATACTGCAGAGAGTTACACGCCCAAAAGGAGTTGAACAATCACAATTTTTTTAAGAGTTGTCATATTGTACGGGCGGGTAACTAAGTGCTTGCCGTTCGGGATCAGCTAGTTATACATAAAATATATAATATTATAACCAATATACATACATACATAATGTCATAATTACATTCAATAATAATTATTATTTAATATTAGGTACCTAGGTATATAATATACTTTATTTAAATTTTAAAATATAGGTATACTAACTTGGTATATTATATAACTGTTGTTGTTCAAGATATTAAGTTTGTGACTAATTAATTAGGTAATTGATTGTCTGATATTTATAACTTTTGTAACTCGTATACTTCGTAGATTGGCTTATAATTTATAGATTTTAATGAATTTAGAATTAATTATTATAAAAATATGTATGAAGGTATAGGGTGTAACTGAATGAGCTGACAAATTAAATAACTTTTGTTCTAATAAATATTTAATTTTTTTCATATAATCAGTACCATGAGAGGGTATGATTTGTCTAGGATATTCCCCCTCCCCCCAGTTAAGAATATCTTGGTGGTAAGATTTGCCTGTTACAACCGGCGTCTGACACTATAATAATAATATTACGAACGACCAAACCGGGACCGGGACCGGAAGACACCCAGGGTCGCTATGCACTATGCAGCCTCCGACTCCATATGCAGACTTTCAACTTTCAAGAATCTTCGGCGTCCTTCATTATTAATATGTATTGTGAATATGTGATCGACACTAGCTGAAAGTGCCTAAAACGTAAAAATATATAAAATTGAATACAAAATTAAACGTTTTCCATGTTAATAAATTGAAACAAAATCCCGCTATAGACGTTGTGACTTGTGAATTGTGATACCCTTAATTTAATACTTTTTTTTTTAAATAACCGATGACTAGGTATATAATATTATTATGAATGTATAGAACGTAGATACCTAATTTTTTATGGAAATCTACTATTACTTCTGAGACAAAATTTAAACATAAACGTTTTTATATACAGGGAAACATCATACAACGATTAAAAGTCGAAAAAAATGGAGTACTCAAAGTCTCAAACTTTAATACTTTATGCATAAAATCAAATGTCATTATTAAACACAGGTGCACACATATATACTTAATAATAAATACTTTATACTTATTAATTTATAATTTATATACTACTGTATTATTACCTTTATGCTTCTCTTGTCCTCGAAAATGTTTTTTGACTACCTACATTTCATAAGTATGATTTCGGGCTTATACGCGTAGACGGTTTCAACCAATATTAATCGCTCATCTAAGACTCATCTAAGACTTAAACCATCGTAGACACGTCACACGTCCTGATCTGGCATTTATAGACAAACAAATTCAAACCGACACACTTGCACACTCACCGCGAAATGTGTACCTATATTATACTCGATGCACGTACAGGACTAGATAGATCCATTTAAATGTATGTTCTTCAGTAAGACAGCCAAGAGAAACCGGGAAACAAAAATCATAATATTACTATATTTTGATGTTATATTGCTTCAAAATATAAACTATAAAGGTACGACGCTGGCCCTTCACAGGCGCAAGCAAGTCATATTGAGTTGCTTTAGGGTGGCATATACAATTGAAAAAAATTGAATTTGGCAAAATTAAATAAACTATATCGGTAAAGAAGAGTGACAACAAAATGTTTGCTTTAAGGCGGAAAATATCTAACTACGATTGAATATAGGTAGGACCGGCTGCAGGCTAGACATTTGCGCTTAATAAATATCCTCGTAAATTACACAAAATCACAGTAGAGGAATGGTGTGACCGGGGCCGCGGGGCCTGAAATAGTGATGTCCTCCACCAACGATGTACAGTTATAAAGAAGTACGTGATAATGTGACATTGAATGTTGTGTAAAAAGTTTGGAGTTGTAACAAACCACATCGCGGGTTCATTGATTTACGATGGACAATTGTTATATAATATCATATGTGTATTCCGTCGATAGATCATCAGATCGCCCGATTTATTATTTTAACGTGAATACCTGTTATTATAATATATACTACATTTTACGGTAAAAAATTAAAATATATATATTTAAATATTGAAATCGTTAAATCTTATTGATGATACAATTGATACATTGATACAAACAACAACGTCCAAACTTGAGCGTCGTCATACGTGTCACCGAGCAACCGAGCGGGGTAGCGCGGCTTCTGCGCGAACAGTGGCTCACACACTGCAGCGGTGCCAGTAAAATTGTGTCCAGCACTCCAGCTTAATTTTACCGGAACCGTTACCGCCACCGCTACCACTAGTACCACTGCCAGTATGTGGGGACCTTATGGTTAGGTCTTTATGGACCTTAGGTCGAGGTTTACGAACATAAATTATTATTTATTATGTATAGGTACCGCCGATTTCGAAAGATTTAGTGACTATAAATATATTTTAGTATTTTACCATTTACTTTACAAGTCTTATAATACAATATGTGTTACAACCATGTGTAGGTACAGTGATTATTGTATAATATATTAGATATACATCCTGCTGGCTGTTATACGTCTGTACATATTGTGCTGTACAAAGTAAATAGATCTGTTTATACGATTCTCGATTTATGCAACAATCAGTAATCACTGTACAATTAATGAAAAATTGTAAAAATTATCTCAACGCTTTTACAATGTTATAGATACTGTTGCTCAGAAATATAACTTCAACAGACCAGTGCACTTACGCTACAGCATTTCATCGTGTATTAGGAAGATTATGCAATAAAAATGAGTGCAGTTGAAAGTAATTTTAATTTTAAAAGTTTGTTCGTACAAAAGTTTAAGGTATTCATTTATAGGTTTAAATTCGATGTCCATTTAGCTTATGAAAAAAATAAAAAAAATAACAAAAATTATTATAAACTACTTATAAAAATATAAGTTATAAGCTAAACATTAAAAAATTAAGACTTCATTAGACTACAACAGACGTTTGAACCGCTACGACATTGCTAAAGACATATAATGTATGAACTATGGGATTCGATACCGTGATTTTCTGTTTTTGTTTAACATTTTTTTCATTTTAGACTGGTTCTTTGCCAAACATACCAATTAATCTAATGAAGCGATAAGAATTCTGAAAACAGATTTGAATTTGTCGTCAAGACTTCTTGAAATCGACTTTACCAAAATTTTGTTTTTTTGATTTTAACATTTCCAAAAATCGAATTAAGACAATTTTTAAGGACTCTTTTTTAATATGACGTTTTTAGAAGTTTGGGGGATAATATCAAACATTTGAGAAAGTCGATACAATTTTTACAGATTTATTAATATTTTAGGAAACAAAAGAATAATTTACTTTGCGGGGGCTATTACAATTTTTTTTTCTGGGGGGGGGGGGTGTGTTGCGAAAAAAACTTAGCTTTTCCTTAACTACTTGGACATTTTTACTTTTGACCCCCTGCAAAGTACCAACTAAATTTCTTTTCTTACCAGGAAAGACGCTGAAGTAGAAAATCAAATCATTCTTACTTCCCCAAAAAATGATGACAAGCATAAAAATATAAAAAAACACATCATAGGAAGATCAATTGACTCAGAATCTAAAATGCTAAAATGTATGTTACTATTCATTAGAGCTAACAAGGAACTTAAAACTTAAAAGGTTTTTAACCTCAGTTTTTAACGATAAAAAATATCATTTTTTTCTAAACAATCTTAAACTAATCCAAAAGAAACATTTTTAAAACCTCGATGTTTTCTGAAATAGGAAATGAGTGTTGTTTACTTTTATAATAAATGGTACACCCCGTATAGATATAGCCATGTGCCCATCGCCCATGTACCTATACCTATCCGCCCTATCCTCTAAATAATATATAATTATATTTATATAAACCATAAAAAAGAAATGTAATAACGACATTGTTGTTTGTGCATAGAACAAAAGGAAAAAAAACGATTACCTTTATGTATAAAATGACTTGAATAAAACAAAAGCGAATAGTCACAGCGGTAGATGAGGTACCTATTTATATTATAGCCATATAGATACTACACGTGGACACGATAAATTGTAATAAATAATAATTGCAGCTGACTATAAAGCCGTATTGTCGCATCGACAACAATTCAACAATGGTCGACCTTAAGACAAATATATACATTAGATCATAATATCAGGTGACACAGTGACGGGACGGGGAAACCTATTAAATAATAAATGGTAAATACGAATACCTATACGACAATAATAATATCATTGTTATTACAGTCATAGCATTCGCAGCACGGTCGTGTACAACTCGTGTAGTACTGTAGTCTGTAGAAACACTAGAAACCTAGAACATTAGAACAATGTAGTAGTTGTGTGGTCCACAAGCACGACAGACGCCACATACCATCCATCCGGCCAAGGCACTGCTTATCAAATTTGTACCTACAGATATATAACCGCAGTACAACACTCACGCGCATCAGTACCGCAGTTGCAGAATCCCTCCTCCTCCTCATCCGACGGCGGACAATCACCGATCGTTGATAACGCGCTTTGAATTTCTGATTAGGAAAAACCAAGACGTCCCGACTCCCGAGTAAGTTCACGACCGACTGAGTACCGACAGACGTCGTTCTGCCCTAATACATTACCGAATACTCGATCGACCGCAGTCTTCCGCGATATTCCTATTCCGCCACTGTGTGATTTTAATAGTCGCCCACACTGTACACAAATACGCGACGGGAAATACAATAATAGATCTTCCGAAAATGGTGGTGAAAGTGTACATGTCCGGCATATCGGGTAACAAAGAGGTAAGTCGCTCGTGCGGACGACGATGTCATCAGACGGACGTCCCCCCCGACGTATTTTGGTCATTTTGGTCTCTCACGCGCTATGTGGTTGCAGGTGAAGAAACGACAACAGAGAGTCACCATGATATTGGACAGCAAGAGCATAACATACGACCTGGTGGACATCACCGAACCAGGGAAAGAAGACGAGAAGGCTTACATGCAGACCAACAGCAAGACCAAGGACGGTTCAAAAAATGCTTTGCCGCCACAGATATTCAACGACGATGTTTATTGCGGGGTTAGTTCGATGATGTCAGATGTGTGTATATCACATCAAACAATCGCACTTAATATTAGTCGTGCAATTGGAATGTCGGTATACTTAAAATGGTTATAGACAATATAAGAACAACATGGTTAATACTATTAAAATTCACAGATTATAATGTATGGACAAAGTTGCCAGTTGGTTCGTTTATTAAATATTAGGTGGTAACAAATTCTGGAAGAGAAATCATTATTTACCATATTAGGAAATGTCTAGTTAATTATTCTATAAAACTTTTCTGTCCTGTCATGTTCTATATTTTTTAAACCTTGTACATATTTTATATTTATTATGTTTCTAATATTCCTTTGAGAAATTAACCTTTAGTTGAAAACTATATTTTATACTACCTAGTATAATATTATGAATTTTTTAATGTAAAAAAATGTTTTAAATTTACCTTAATAGGTATCACAATTATTATTTAATGGGATAACAAAGTAAAACGACTGTACCTTCCAGATTTTTAATATGTAAAGGTTTTTTATTAAATAAACAATTATTTGTTATACAGGACTATGATGATTTTGACACGGCTAATGAATTGGATGAGTTGGACAAATTTTTTGATATTTCTACTAAAAGTCCTCCTAAAGAATTAAATGGCTCAACTACTGTGGTAAATAATTAAATATTGTTATAATAAATTTATTTTTTAGTAATCCCTTAATATTTGTTTTTTTTAGGAAGATGTTAAAGTTGAAAGTACAAATGAAGACAATGATACAAATGATGGGTAAATTTTTAAAAATACTTAACATTTTAATTTTATTCTAAAGTATAACATATTACTTTAGATTGCTTTGATTATTTCAAAAAAAAAAAAAAAATAAAATAATTATTGCAAATATTAAATCCTCTATCCTATTATACAATTATTTTATTACTATTTAGTTTACATTCAACTTAATGCATTATCAATAAAACTGTTATTTTTATCGCAAAATAATATTGTATTAGAAATTAGTATATACTTTTCAGTTGTCATGTTTAAAAGAAATTTCAAATTTATATGACACTAGATATTGAATTGTGTTTTATTGAATGAATAATTTTAAATTTAAATTGATACCGTTCATAGAACTGTAAATGAAAAAGTAAATGAAGAACAACAAGAACCTTTGACTTCTGATGATGAAGATAGTGATAATGAATCGCTTGACACACAGGTGACAAGCAATTAAATGAACAATTATAATATCTTTTTTAACAAATTTCTCCTATTAATTCAATAATCTGTATTTTCTAATTTTTCACTACAAAAATTAGTAGTGTTTAGTATAAGCACAAATTTGAATGATACTACACTAAAAAATAATTATACAATAATATTTGCACTTATTAACATAATCTTTTATTTAAAAAATGACTAAAATCTAAAAGTTTTATGTGTGATATTGATTAATACAAAAACTAAAAAAGTTTCATAACCACTTTAAGATAAGGGAGTTGTAACATAATTTATGATATAAAAATTATAATAGTATTTTATTTTTGTATATTTGAAAATAACCCCTAGAAATATAGATTTTACTCTGTATAACTTCCTCCGAAAATAAATCTTTGTTGAACCATTGTTATAACCTTTTCAAAATATTAGTTGTTCAATGTTGGATACTTAGAAAAATTTGTTTAAGTAAGTACATCAACATTAATTTTACTAAAACAATTATTATCAACATTTATAACAAACCAATTTCATTCAAATTGTCTTTTGCTTTAACTTTCAATATTTCACAATTATTTTTAAGTTATGATAAGTTGTAATAACAATAAATTAAAAAAATTTGAATAACCCATAAATTGAATGGTTATTACATTATTGAACCTAACTATAAATGTTATCAAATTTAAATACATATGTATTTTATCTTATTGATTGTCTATTGGTATTAGTTAATAATTTGTTATACCTACCTTATCTGTTGCCGTGATTCAAATATACTTTAGTAAAATACTAAATCATCAAAAAATTTGTGATGCTTGACATTATAATTGCATGAATTGTTATTTTCATTAATTATTAACATTGCATTCTTAATTTATATTCAGTCTACCGTGAATGTAAAAAATAATAATAATATGTTATTTCTTTGTCTGAGATTTTTAATGTTATATTTTGTATGGATTTTAGAACAAATTGAAAGAGACAACAGTAAGTCCAAATTCCGTCCCACTTCCAGATGACACAAATGTATTATTGGATGTCCCAGAAACTAAAAAAGAATTGTTATCAGAAACCGAAGAAGAAATTGAAGAGTGAGATTTTTTTAGCTACTCAAAATAAAAATGTACAAAATTATAATAATTTTTGATTTGCTGCCTCTACTCTAACAAGTTTTTTATTTTATTTTATTTATTTATTTTTCTTTTAACAAAAGTTACTATATTTTTCTAGTTAAAAACTTCAAGTATTAGATTTAATATTATTATTTATTTTTTTTTATGTTCAATACCAAAATAATTCATTAAACAAATATTGAATGCTTATATTTATGATTGTCATTTTTATCCATAACCACATTATATTTTTAATATGTAATTTTTGGTTTATATTCATTGATTCGTCTTCAGAATATTAGAACAATCTTTAAATGTCAATTGATATTAAGCGAATAAATAAATAATTTTGATCTATATTATATATTTTATTATAATTATTATATTATATTTATTTATTTATACAAATACATTTTAAGAAATGTTCTTTTTTTTACCAATTATGTTTTATTCAATGTTACAAGTTGTACAAAAATGTTTGATTGCTGGAGGCAATTAGCTGGATTATTGCCAGTTCATGATTATTTACAATTGCTTATAAATACAAGTTGATTATAAATTGTATACCATATTGGGCATATTGTATATATTAACTAAATATATTTATTTTTGAGGCTATGGATGAATGCTTATAAAATTAACCAGCATTCAACTGTCTTATTATATAACATTTTATTTAAAAGTTATAATATTAGAGAAATAAAATTATTATTATTTATATAATTTTTTGTAACAAGTGTTTTTACAATAATGTTGTATAGTATTACTTACAGTATTTCTGTTTTTATTTACTTTAAATGTATATTTATCTTATTTTATATTTAGGGTTTTGAGCTTACTAATTTAGATTGTATACGCTTTTTAAATAATAGCACAATTTCAGTTAAATGTGTTAACTGTTTTCAAAAGGTTAAGTAATTTGACAAAATATGTATGTTAGGAAAACAGTTGATTTTTAAATTGTATTCACTTGTTGCTCATGTGTCAGTGATACCTAGATATTTTGCTTAGTACATTAACTGAAAAGTTAAGCAAGTCCTTTGTTATGACTATAACTTGATAAATAACTTCTTAGGATATACCACAATATGTCATTTTACATAATACTATTATGTCACTGATATAATAGAATAAGAAAATAATTGTTATCTATAATGTAGACATGGTGATCAAATTTTATAAAATATTTGCTCTTAAATTAAAAAAATTAACTTTTTTTAAAAATATTAATCAATTATTAATAGCTAATTTTTTGTTAACTATAGAAATTAAATCAAAAATACAACTTTATTTTAATTAAAATGCCTAATACAACATTGTTGAATTCATTAGTTTTGGGTAAGATTTGGTTCATTTTTTCCAACTCATAAAATGTATCAATAAATCCATAAATTACTGTATGATTTATAATCTATGTGTATTTTATCTTTATGATTAATAGAAATTGTTTTTACATGAAAACTAGTGGATAAATTAGAAAATTACTTTATAATAGTATAATGAGTTTACAATTTAACAAATACCTACCAACCATATGCAGTCAAATGTTAAATGATCAGTGTCACTACTTTCTACCTAGGTCTGTGAAATGAAAATATTAATGTTGATTTCAGAGAAAACTTGAATGTCAATATGAGATTTATCTTTCACTGGAATGTAAACTTGGCTAGGAAACTAAGTCACAGATACTTCAGATTTTTCTGCTAACCACAATGTTTGAGTCACATCCAAAACTGTTGAAATACCTACTACTGAAGTCGAACAAATATTGTCTATTGCGGAATAAGGCTATTACAGTAACTAACCAGAGTCTAGACACAAGGTAAATATTTTTTTTACTACTTTAATCAAATTTCACGTTATAAAGGAACCAGTAGCGAATCCAAAAGTCACCCAAAGGGGGGGGGGGCGAATTAAAAAAAATTTAATTGTCTTTTTGTTTAGCCAAATATTATAATATAAAATAACGTTAGAAAGACAGCCCACGAGGGGGGAACTGAAAGGAACATTGGCTTTTTGGACAGCAGCATTAGTCTGTCCCCTGTTAATGATCCATACAACATACACCTACTGCATACTAAAACCTCGCTCCCACATATAACTGTCAGCCGTCAAGGTATCCTCTATAGTATTATTGATACAACTATAGTATTATAGATGATAAAATGGCAAAACATAAAATTAGTTATATATCTTTATATTTATTTTATATACAATTATACTGATTTAAACGTTTTAAAAAATAATTGATTAATAATACAATATCATTAAAGAAATGCGTAACATTATTTTCTAAATTAAATTGTTATACTAAGAAAAGCATACCTATACTGATTAGTACTGGGATTTCGAACAAGTACATATGGTAAATTTGTTTTAGACTCTGACCAGAGATTAAACAACTCCAATAGTGCAGGGCCAGGCATGTAACCAATGCCAACATATTTGGATTTAGTAAAACTAAAATGACTATTGCATGAGAAACCCAAAATGACACGACTGCAACTGTGCTTTAAGGGCGTTTGTTCTTCAGGAATCCACAACTTTTTCATTTGGCTCAAATATTCCTTGACTATTTGTGATGTTGGAGATACCTTCCGTTTGAATCGTTTGCAGAGAATGTTTCTCTTTTTCTTTTCTAACACACGTTTACGTCTCAGGGATCTCAATAGTTTTCTATGTTCCAAACGATAAATCTTACGCTTGAAAGCATTCAAATCTTTGTGCATTTTTTCTAAAGGACCCAAGTTAGATTTGTCTCCAACATTACTTAAATCATCAAGAGTTGGTAAACACAAGTGTGAATTAGGTTTTAGAATGCCTTTCTGCGATAACTCAATCCTAATGGGTACTAAACAAGTTTGTAAGTCAGTGAATTCAGACTTTAAATTGTTCACATCAATTATTTCTTTTAAATTTAAAGTTAAATTTTGTAGCTGAGTTAATACTTTGATATTTCGCAATACAAATGTATTATTAGAATCTAACATCCATTCATTACAGAGAATGTCCCAAGGACAATGAAATGGAGTCTGAAAACCTAACTTAATGTAATTAACTCGCATTTGTGGAGGAAGTCTAAAGTATTTTTTCATTGCTTCTTCTTTTACTAACTTAGCTCTCAGGTTTCCAGCATCAGTATCTGGTTCGTCTGGTCTTGGCAAACATCGTTCTAGTACCATGGTTGTAGTTTCTCGTAGTCCTCCAGGTTGACATCCGTTCATAATAAGACCTAACCAAAATGGCATCGCCCATCCAGCTGGTAAGACAATATCCCAGCCACTACCATAACCTAAAACAAAAATCAGTTTTTGGTTAAATAAGTCTATAGTAAAATAACTAAAATATATTAAATTTAATTAAATAACCTGGTCTAGTAATTGGATGACACTGCCCAGGTCGTTGAATTAAAAGAATTGGTATAATAGACATTGAGTGTTTATCCAATGCAATTTTGTCATTGCCGTTAATAATACAATTACTACGTAACATATTCATTTCACAATTGGGCATCTTATTCTGAGTAGACCAATCTCGAACCTTTAAATCCCAAATTTTAGAAACACTTGCTATTGTGGGTAGTTTAAAAGAATAGTCTTCTTCTAGTAGAAAATCTAAAAATCAAACATTCTTAACAAATTAAATTATTTATTATGCATTTTATAAGTATATAAATAAACATTTAAAAACCTTTCGAATTAGGCAAAGCTTTTGTTCTTTTCATTGGAAACACCAGCCTTGGATCTACTGTGTGAAATCCAATTACACAATTTGATGGATATGATTCTGGTCTATCAGCTCCACTTAAAGATTCCCAAAGTTTTGTTTGGATATTAATAGAATTATTTAGATTTTTCAAATGTGATGACCACCAGTTTTCATTAACACGACTGTTTGAATTAACCAAATCAGCAGGGTATAGGACACGACTCAAAACACTATTTGACAATGGTCCTGTCAGTCTTAGCCTATTCAAAGAATCTTTTAATAAAGTCATTTTCATTGCACTATTAACAAAAGTAGGAGTTTGTACTGCAGGAGTTGATATATTCTTTGATTTTTTTATAATTTCTAAAAGTTTAGGCTTTTTTAGAACTGGAGGTTCAGACTCTAAAATATCTAAGTCATTTTGCTTTAAATTAAATGTAATTTGTAATTCTTTTGCTAACTGTGCATAAATTGAAGGTTCTGCCCAAATCCACACGGCTCTTATTTTGTCTTGAACACAAGTATCCCAAATAAATGACACCCTACCAATAGCTCCACAAGGATAAGCACCATTTTTGTACATGCAAATTGTTCCTTCTCTAGTTCCTTGTTCATAGCACTTAGCTTTAAATGTACGTCCACAATCTTGATTAACATGGTGCATTAAACCTTCTATTATTTGACTGTAGGGTCCTCTTAGTTCAATACAACTGATGTAAGATACATCCTAAATGAATAAAACATGAGTACAGTAAAAATGTTATATAATATTATGTTATATTGGTACTTTACCTGTGCTAAACAGTGATTTCCTATAGCCCTGTAACAGGCTCGATAAGTTTTATCATGTGAGCTTTTAGGTAATTTATATCCATCCTTAAGTACAATGTGAAACCGTTTTGCAAACCATACATGAGTTTCCAGCCATTTTCCATTTTTTTGACGTCTCATATAGTCCAATCGCAGACTTTTGGGTTTACGCCTATAATCTTTTCTACGCCTCACATGTTTATTGATTTGCTTTTCAATCTAAATAATATTTAAACAAAATATTGAATATGATAAAAATAATGTCAGTTATATATTTTTAAATACAGATTTTTTATGAGCAGCTCTTAAATCTTTAGGCATTCGTTTTACAGTTGTGCTCATAACTCGGCGGCGCATTTTTTTTGGAAGACGTTGAAATATCATTTTATTGCACTTTTTTGGGGTCTCTAAAAAGAATTAAAAAAATTCATACAATTAATAACAATAAAAAATAATATCTAGAGAGTTGACATAATACCATAACAATAACTGATTTAAAATAAAAACAAACTTTTTTAATGTAGATTAGTATTTGAAAGTTAACTTTGCTTCGACTAATACGAGTTTTTTTTTCATTATGATTACATACAATTTAGAGGTCCTATAGACCAATGTTTCTTACAGTGTATTGAGCGAATAACTTGTAGGGATACTATTACTCCAAACTTCTAGCCTCTTTTTTTGATTAGTTATTAATATTAATTTTAATGGGGGTTTCGCATTAAAAAATATTATTTTATAGTGTTCAGTGATCCAAAAAAGTTTAAGAAATATTGTTATATACTATAGGTACGTAGTATGTACACTTAAAAATTCAACAGCAGTGATTTAAATTTTTTACTTAATTGAATGACTTACGAATTTCTTTGAGCAAAGCTTGTATTTCTTGATTTCGAGCAGATAAAAATGAATTTACGTCAACTTGATTCCCTGGTCTGACATGACCAGGAGTGTTGTCCAATATTGTATGCAGATGATCCATAGCTTACAATGTTATTTAACGTAAAAACGTATAATAAATTAAAAATGCACTATAATTATTAGATATTATCCGCAAACGTACATCAAATTAAAACAAACAAATTCTTAGTGTATACTGTGTGTCTGAGATTTTTCCTCAATAATCAAGTAGACGAGTGTTTTCAATATTATTTTCATAATGGAACTCACGGGAAAGACTGACAATGCGTTTACGAAAGTGCAAAAAACTTAAACCGATGAATTTTCAAATTAATAATAAGAAAATAGTCGAGCACGTCGCGCTCGCGCACATGGTCGTGTATGTTAATATTCAGATTGATAAGGACGTGATGGTGATAAGCAATTACCGTGTAATATTTTTTTATTCCATGGCCGGCCCGGTGATCTTATCAAATCCGGCTCCGTCATCACCAGTAGGCAGTTGTTGTATTCGCCACAACATAATATTTAATTAACACGACAACAATACAACATTGAATTTACCAATTCTATAACATTGCTAATTAATTTTTCTGCCGATACCGGTTGGCGATTACCATTACTGAAACAGCGAGACACTGAGCACACCGGATACCGACGTGAAGCTTGTGTGGGTGGCTGGTAAAAGATTTCCGCAGAAAACTAATTTGTGAATTGTCGATCATTCCAGGGTTTCGAACAAATACGAGACGCACGCGCCGCTGTCCGATGTAAGTATTTGGTCATCCGCCTTATGATTTATCTATCATTTTCGCAAAATACTAATTAGTAAGTAATAAGTATATATATACAGATATACTTTCAACTTTCAAGTTATATTTGTATATAGGAATTGTGTTTCGTTAAATATAAAATATCATTGAAAATGTTTGTAATTTGTTGTGGTCGTATCATATTTCGATCCAAGTATGACCAGCCGACTTGAACATTTAGTAATAAATAATAATATTCTATTATTATCGGTATCTCTCTCCATCTAGTCTCTACAGTCGCTAATGTAGGAGGTTGGTTAGGTTAGATATTATGTGACGTACGTTATTGGACTAATGATACGTAGGTATAGATTACTATACTCTGTTCCATCTAAGAGTGAACCGCTTTCGCGCACGCAGAATAAGCCGCTGAACAGTGCCGACCCCTCGTGCGATGGCTATGCTTTCTGTGATTGGCGGACAGTGATCGTCGGACGTCGGGCGCCCGTGTCAAGACTCCCACCGATGTCCGGATTGTGGTGGGAATGAGCGGAAAAAACATGTTTTGGTCAGCCGAGTGGTTCACTCTTAGATGGAACAGAGTATAGGTATAATTATTGTTTAGAGTTTAACAACAAATTTGAATTCTTCATGTATAATGATTGAGTGGAAACTAATCTACATATTCTTCTGGTTACCAACTCAAATGTTTATAGTATTCTTTACTAATTAAGATTGATATTAGAATGAACAAATTATTTGATCTTTCTAATTTTTTAACCACAATGTCTATTAAGAAGACTCTACCTATGCATTTGCTATCTCCGTTTAACACAACATAGCAAATTTTCGTATACTAATTGCTAATTAGTTTATTCTAATATCTATGTTAATTAGTAAAGAATACTATTAACATTTGAGTTGGTATCCAGAAGAAAAATGTTACCTATTGAAACATAATATTTTTTTTATTGTAAATCTGTACCTATATTTTATTACTATTTATACTACCTAGGTATTATGTAAAAAGTATTGTTTTTATTTCATATTTTTAATTTTTAGATGATTACAGACGTTCAATTAGCTGTATTTGCCAATGTATTGGGTGTCGGTTTATTTCTCCTAGTTGTTCTCTACCATTACGTGACGGCAAATTTCCCATCAAAATAATTTTTTATTGTAAGTATAAAACTTTATTTTATCAAAATATATTATTCTCATTACTTTTTAGTTTTTTATTTTAGGTTGCAAGTTTGTACACAATTGTGTTCCAGTATCTAGTTTAATATACCTCTGTTTATTGTAATACTTTAATCCCACATATTTGCACATTTTATTATTATTCTTAATAATGTTAAACCTTTTTAGTACCTACATGATAATGTTATCTTGTGTATTTTGAATCATAAATGTGTTCCCCCAGTACCTGTTTTTATATGATTTGTGAGTCAGTATAGAATCTTTATTCGTTGTTAATTGTTTGAATGAGTGTTAGCATAATGAATTTAAAAATATCACGTATTGCGCTTAGTCTCACCGAGAAGTTATCAATTTTACACAAATATGACTCTAATCCTTCTTTAGAAAAAACAAAATTAGCAGAATCACTAAATATATCAGAGTCTACTCTACGAACAATTATTGTCAAAAGAAAAGAAATACAAAAACGTGCAAATGAAGGATCAAACAAGCGAAAGAAAATAAAAAATGGAAAATATTTTACTCTTGAACAAATTCTGATACAGTGGATTAACGAAATGAATGCTAATTCTACGCCTCTTAATGGTCCTATTATTCAACGTAGAGCAATAAAAATTGCTAAATCTTTGAAAATCATAGATTTTAACGCAACAAATGGCTGGTTGGATCGATTTAAGAAAAGGAACCTAATTAGTTACCAAAAAGTCAGTAGAAAATCTAAACCAGTAAATGATCAGGATATAAATGTTTGGTTCTTGAACATTTTACCCAAACTTAAAGAAAAATATGCTTCAAAAGACGTTTTTAATGCTACTGAATTTAAGCTATGTTACAAACTAATGTCCAACAAATTACTAGGTATCAAAAATATAAAACGCGTCAAAACATGCTCTAAAAGTAAACTTAGCAGAGAACTTCTCAAAGTGCTTATCTGTGCTAATTCTAATGGAACAGAAAAATTAAATCCACTTGTAATTGGAAAACCATTGAAACCTAAATCTTTCATTGATAACAAATCTTTCCCATGTGAGTATTCTGTAAAAAAAACCACATCAATTACTAATGAGAATTTCTGTTCTTGGGTAAAAAAGTTAGACAAAAATATGATCAAAAATAATCGGAAGATTCTTCTTCTTGTAGACAATTATAGTTCAACTATTCCAAAAGATATTGCATTGAAAAATGTGGAATTAGTATTTTTTCCACCATACATTACAAAGAATCTTCAACCTCTGAATCTAGGTGTGATTAACGTCTTTAAAAAATACTATGAAAGGCACTATCTAAATGTTCTAAAAAATTCAAACACTAAGCAGCTTAACATAATATTGAATGCATTACGTCATATAACTGCAGCATGGAGCAGCATACAGCCACAGGTAATTACTGAATGTTTTAAAAAAGCTGGAATTGAATGTGGTTCTAATGAAGTAATTGATGATGATACTGCTAGTGAAGCGATGGTATTGATAAAAGACAATTCAACACATTTAAAAAAAGCCAGTCGACATAACAAAAGTCTAATGATCACAGAGCACAAATATGTACAAAATAATGAAGACTTAATTGATATCGATGAAGATTCTGATTCTGGCCAAAACGAATCATTATATGATGCGATTAATGCCATTAAAATAATAAGGCGTTATCTCCCAACATTAAAAGGAAGTAAAGCGGCTATGTCAAATATTGATCAAGTTGAAAGTTTTATTTTTTCTAAAATGCCACATTTATAAATTAAGTACTTAAAAAAAAAAAAAAAAATTCAATATTATTATATTACATTCAAAACATATTACATAATTTAATTGGTATAATTATTTTTTTTTTTATTTTTAATATGGGATGTATTTTCTAAGATACTTTGAACACATGTTAATGTAATTTTACTTTAAATAAATCATAATTATTAAAAATGTTAATGTGTCATTACATAGTTAATTTCTCTTTTATTAAATTGACAAACCTAAACTATTACACAAATTACAATAAATCAGTCTTATAATCATTTACTGGAGTAAATATTTTTTATATTATATTTTTGTTTGTTGACTGAAGATACGAGAATTTGATTGCTACAATACGAGAATAACTGTTTGAAAAACTGGCAAGCCTAGTACTGGGGTAACATTTGTTACGAGATTGAGTTTTTAAAATTACCGAAACTGACACTAAATTTTAACAAAATAAATTTAATTTAGACAACACATGATAAATACTTGCATATTTTATTCTATGCAGTAAATGAATGTTCAATATGAAATTTTATTTTATACTAAAATCATGTATATACTTACACTGAATTATGATTAAAATTGTATTTACAGGTTTTTATACTCAAACTTGATTTAGGTATCATAAAATTATGGATCAAGTTTTATGATAACTGTATATTAGTTGATGTAATTCAATTATGTTTTTTAGACGCTCTGAATATGATTATGTAGTACTCGATAAATAATAAAATATACAATATAAAATGGTTGGAGAGGGCAGGGTGCTTGTACTAGTTAACATGTCTTTAACATGATCATTTTATATTATAATACAATGATCGTACATTAGTCAATGATTTCCTAGAGACTTGAAAATGATTTATGTAAAATGAAATTGTATTTATTATATATTGATTTTTACTATAGATTAGGATAGAATAATTAATCATAATATTTAAAAATATATCATTTTTACATTTTTACAGAATATCAATATGAATTACATTCCGGCGAGCTACAATATATAGCAAGATGTTCAACTGCGGGTTGGATATCATTCCATATACTTAAAATAAAATGAAATAATACTCAATTTATATTTCAATGTTGGATTATGAATACTTCAAAATACGTCCACCAATTCAATGTTAACAGAAAATTAATTAAAATCAGAAAAAAAAATATATGCAGGGTCATTCAAATCATAGTAATTTTAAATTTAGAGTAGGATCGAATGGCCCTGCATCCCAATGATTTTTTTTTACCAATTCATCAACTCAATAATTCATTTCATAAAAAAACAATTTTTTTTATCAAAATAATATATTATTTTCATTTTTAATATTCTTTTTATAGTTTTATTTCCATACATTAAATTAAATATAATTTATTTGTGTTTTATTATCAAAGTTATATAATGAACACTATTTACTTAACTTCAATTCAATTATTAAATATTTATATTTCATTCTATTTTGTAATTTGATTAATGAACTTTATTGAAATAAAAATTACATTATCTGTTTTTATAATTCTAATTATTAATAGATCATTATTAACAATAGCTATAAGGCTTCTGTCTTCAAAAACTCCCAGTGCTCAAGGCAGATAATGCTAAGCAAAATGTATATCCAAATTTATAAAATGATATAAATTATACCTCTGATTAAACAATAATATTATTTTGTCACTATTAACTTAATTAAATCCCTGTGTTCGCCAACTATTTATCTGTATATTATATTTTATAAAATGTATAACATTATACTGTTAATGAATTAAGGGGATTCGATACCATGATTTTTTGTTTTTGTCTAACACACGCGTGACATAGTATTTTAGATGTTTTTTTTTTGCCAAACATACCAATTGATTTAATGAAGCAATAAGAATTCTAAAAACAGATTTGAATTTGTTGTCAAGTCTACTTGAAATCGACTTCTCACATTTTTGATTTTTTGAGTTTAACTTCTACAAAAATTTTAATACAATTTTTAAATACTCTTTTTAATATGAAATTTTTAGGAATCACGAGATAATATCAAAAATGTGGGGAAGTTTTCAGAATTCTTAAAGCTTCATTTGATCAATTTTTATGTTTGTCAAAAAACACTAAATTACTATGTCACTTGTGATTGACAAAAACAGAAATTCTCGGTATCGAATCCCCTTAACACTAATCATTGGTGCAAGGTACATTTTTTTCCTGGGCCCTGGGTATATCTATAGCAGGGATGGGCAACTGGCAGCCCGCATACCGTTTTTCACTGACCCGCTTTACATTTCAATTTAGCTTATAAAAATATAAAGGATGATAAAAGAGGATGTCAGCGCACTATTTGTTTTCTCTCTGTGGCCCACGGGCAACATAGGCAAAACGCATTTATGCAGAATCATTTTTTCTATGTTTTTAAGTATTTATTAGGGTAAAATCACCCACTACAAAATAAGATAGAGAATAATATTTTAGAGGGAATGACCTATCGATTTTATAATTTATTGATATCTGACTTTGTATTCTACTTTCTAAATAAACAAAAGAATGTTATGAATTTAAATGATGTTTAAATTGTTTTGAAACAAAAGAAACAATATTAAGACAAATCAATATGTCATTCCCTCAAAAATATTATTCTCTATCTTTATTGTTATGGGTGATTTTACCCTAACATTACTTAAAAACATAGAAAAAACGATTCTGCATAAATGGGTTTTGCGTATGTAGGCCAGAGAGAGAAAACAAATAGTGCGCTGACATCCTCTTAACTCTTAAGGTTTTAAATCGTAATTTTTCCAAAAGTCACTTATTAACTAAAATGGTTTTAAAATGCTAACATATTTTATCATTACATTATTAACGATTTTTTTAAAAGTAAAAGGTTCTAAATCGACAAAAATTAAATTTTAAACACAATTTAATCAAATTGAAAACGCTCGGTTAGTCGGTTAATGGAACCAAATTATTAACAATACATTAGTATGAAAAGGTTTTAACTTCTAATTAAATTAATCACTACCTAGTAATTATTACATTTATCCATATAGAATTTTACGATCGAGATACAGACTTCAATGTTTCATAATTATTACATTCAACATTGTTTCGTGTTAGAAGATTGGTAGTGATCAGCGATGAGAAATCATTATTCTGAAAAGGATTCAGCTAATAATAATAAAAAATAATAAATAATTAAATAAAATATTTTTATATTAGAATGAAAAGGTTCTAATATTGTTTTTAATATTCAATAAACCTATTTTTATTTAACTATTATTTATTATAAATTAGAATTTTTTTATTTCTTTTATTGAAATGTGTTTAACATGTTTAATAAAAAATATTATCGTATTTAACGTCGATAAACACTTTTTTAAAACGTGAAATGTAGTCCGGAGTCAAGCAAAAATGATTTCTTCGATTTTCTATGAATTTATACGTGAGTAAAAAATCGAAATCACAACTTAACGGATAATGAGGGACACGATTAGCAAAGATTTGGAGGGGGGGTAACATTTTTTTTTACAACACAATTATTTCCCCCCTTGGTTGTTATGTTTAAAACACGACGTTTTAAATGGTTTGTTCATTGTTTAAATTTTAAAACGAAGAAAACGTATGTTTAACAGTGTTAAATCCAAGTGAATATTGTTTTTTTTTTCGTTTATTATTAATAATAAATAATAATAGATATCCTTTAGAAAAAAGTTAAAGTGTTAAATACAGTGTGTTTCACTCAATTGGTAACACGAAATATTTCCGTTCAGTGACCTTGGATTGAATCGTGGTTTTTTCGAGAAGCTAGCTAGGGAACACTAAAATACACATTTTGTGAATATTTTCGAATGCGCGCATTGACATTTGACACCATGGTTACTGGTTAGGTTAGTGCACTTGATTTTTTACTTTGGTTTAATGCGATGGCTATGCGTTCTGTGATTGGCCGACAGTCATCGCCGTCTGTCGTCGATCGTCGGCTCCGGTGCTGGTGGCCGTGCATACGCTCCCACCGGTGTCCGGAATGCGCGAAATAAACGTTTTTTGGTCGAGGGAGCGGTCAACAGAGTATACTAAAGAATAAAGATCATTTAATTTATTATTAAGATTTGACTTTTGGTAATAATAAGCGTTGGTGCGGATCATTGGAGATAGAAATTATCCAGCGTGAATTAGCAGTAAGTATCTTGCAAGTTGTAATAAATGTATCTTATATCATTATATCAATAGCTTATATTAGGTAAATCAAAGTAGAATACTGAACACTGAAGCGAACAAATGCACTTTACCAACCCCCCCCCCCCCACGATTTGAAATTTTTTTTTAAACTTATTAATTTTAGAAGTCTTCCAAAGTTTGCGATTTTATCGCTTTTATAATTTAAAATATGAATAAATAAGAATTGTTTATAAACGTTTTATATTATTATGTTTGTAGCCAATTCACGATAATAAGAATTAATAGGTACTAACCCATAGAGTATATAGAGGAGCCCTAATTGAAATAATATGAAGCGGAAATGGAAACAAAACAGTGTAGGCAAACTATAGAATATATTTTATTGTATATGAACTATAATACAATATTTATTGTAATTTAATTATATTACTCATTATTATTACTCAATTATATCATATTGTTCTATGGTTATATTAACCTTTATTTATAACTATCAATATAATATTAATTATTATAATATTACTGAACCACGATTAAAGATATACAGGTTGCACATCGCCCTATAGTAAACCGCTTCCAGACTGATTTACAAAGTGACTATAAAAATCAGCTGTTAATAATTAACTAGTGGCGCTTAATGTCAACACTCAACCGTATGTGTCGACATTTAGAACTAATTTTACACCTATATATCTATAATCGGTTAATTGTAATACTGCCGCTTGGAGCGCCACTGGTTAATTATTGGTAGTCATTTCGTATTTCACCTTATCAGTAGTCGATGTGCAACCTGTATATCTTTAATCGTGTACTGAACTGAACTTGATTTGCACAAATACGTAAATACCTACTATTATAATATGTTATGGGAGGGTAGTAACTTTTTGGTGAGGAAATTATCAGTACTATCAATACTTAAATTATTGTAACACACCAGCATCTTAGGTTTGTTCTTAAAATAGTTCCTGAGTAAAAAGTATTATAACATATTCAAAATATTACATTGCTGGGATTTACGAAAAGTTGAAAATTAGCGCTATCTATCAGTTACGTTGTTAGTTATTGGAAACCAAATCCGACATGTTTTGCTTCACATAATTCATAATACTTATTCTGATAGGGCATCTCTATATACTCTATGTACTAACCTAACCTAGGTATAATAGCCTTACATTATAGCTAGGGCTAGCAGGGCCTATTTTAATTGGACAAATTCGCCCCACCAAGTTTTCCGTACTTCACCAGCGCACTTACAAACTGCCGGCCCTTGGGTACGTTCTTATTCCGTGCATAGTTTTTTTTATTTTATGTATTCTGAATTCTCCATTTCTTCAACTTTTAACTCTTGCCATATTTTCAGTCAACGCGGCCCCTCATGACTTAAACTGCCCAAAATTGTCGCAACCCACCGAGTTTTACTCGGTAACTCGCCGGACCAATTCGGCCCTGGTGGCCTGGTTATCATACATCTATATACTATAGTAATATAACTCAGTGTTGCCAGGTTTGATAAGAGTAATAATCGTATAGCGTCTTCAAAATTATCGTATTTCACAAGAAATTATCGTATAAAAAAAAATCGGATAGTCGGACCAAAAAAATTTTTCTCGCTACGCTCGTATAAAATTTTTTCTCGCTGCGCTCGAAAAACAAAAATTAATCCCTAATACGTTTCAAAATAAATTCTTTTATTACAATCAAATTATATTATATAACGTTATTCCAATTTCATAAGTACATATCTGCTAAAATTGTAAACCCTTCTTAAAACACATAGAAAAAGATTAAATACCGAGTAAATACTGTTGTGCCATACTGGCTAATTTATTTTTTATCTAAATATCTTAAAATATTTTATACTTTACCTAAGATACAATAACAACAAATACATAACATTGTAACACTGTATTATAGTAATTATAACAATAACATATTTTTATCATAACATAAAAATTAACTAAACCTTGTTATATAATATATTCCATGGTAGAACATAGTACATATTTTATATAATATAATTAAAACAAATTATTCAAAAACAATTTCGTCAATAAATATTTCACTGTTCAATTCATCTTTTGAAAAATCATACATTTCATTATTCATGCTTGCATACATGGTTTTAGTTGGTTGGAATTTAACACATGTAGTGATTTTTACACATTCACTAGTGTTTATTAAGCCATTTATTGTATTAGTCATTAATTTATTTCGTAATTTAGTTTTAATTAAGTTAACTTTGGAAAACAGTCGTTCACAAACACAATTTGACTGTGGTAATGACAAAATATTTAGAACAAATGCTGAAAGATTAGAAAACAGCTTCTCCCCATTTTCTTCATACAAATAAAGATCTAACCAAAACATATCAACATTTTTATTTTTCAGTATATTAATTATGTCTAAATCAAAGTAAGAATTTAATTTTCGCCATTCATCATCAATGACTTGCATCTGAATTTCATCATTACATATTCTTGGGAATAATATAACGAAATTTAATAGAGTATTTGAATGCTCTTGGCTAAATATATTTTTAGGTGAAATATAAATAAGTGAAGATAAGATTTTATCACTAAAATCAAACCGTAATTTGATTTCTATGCAAATTTCTATTAAAAACAGTCTGCATCGCTTTAACACATCTAAAAGCATCTGTTCATCAATATTTTTATTTTGTGTTAATAAAAACATTGATGCACCCAAATAAATACTCTTGAGTGGTAAATATTGGGATTCGTCATTAGGATTGTACGTAAACGGGTTCGGAATTTTCCTAACGAATGAAAATAGAATATCTTTGTACAGCTCAGACATTTTAGTAAACACAGAATCAATAACTGTTTTATCGCTTTGGAATAATTTGTTGAGTGAAGTAATTTTTGGAAGAATATAATTTAAAAATGTATAATACATAAAAAGTGAAGGGTCCTTTAAACGATGATAAATATTTTCAGCAACTTTTAGCCTATCGTCTTTATAATTTGCAGCAAAATATTGTTTTAGAGCCTCCCATTGCTCAATAATTCGAGATACTGCCATAGAAAGTGATAACCATCTGGTCTGGGCTGGACGTAACATTTTATGAGGCTCTAATTCACAAAGATCTTGAAATTCTTTCAATTGAGAAATTCTTTTGCAGCTAGATTTAAAATAATTAAATATGTCACGAACCAGATCTTCACAGTCTCTTGGGAGAGTCTTACATGCTGCACTAGCGACGAGATGCAAACTATGGCAAATACATTTTTGTACAAAGATACCTATGAAAAACAAAAATTATTAATTTGTGAAATGTGTGATAATATTATATAAATTACCTGGAAATTGCTCTTTTAGTTTTGAAGAAACAGAATTATGCGCCCCAAACATGGTATTACAGCCATCTGACGCAAAACCTAAATTCAATCATACATATATTATAGTTTTTAAAAAAAACAAATATATATTAGTGGGTAAAAATTATAATATTAAAAAAAAGAAAAATATTAGAAAAATATTAATATAAAATAATAATAACATAATAAAATATAATAGGTAATCATTTATGTGAATCCATAAGAAAAATGCCAATCTTTTTTTTATATTAATAGTTAATAAATAAGAGTCACTTTAGTTTTTTTTTTATAAATGTATCAATTAATAAAATAAAATAAAGTATAAGATATGTAATAAATGTTATTAAGTTTTGATGTTTTTAGTGCATACCAAACACATATTTTAATGTTTTTATGGTTGGTCATGTTTTGGTACATTTAAGTGCTTTAAAATCCGAAACCGTGGTAATTAAATATTAACTAATTAATTTCTTTTCAACTGAGTTAAGTTCATTTTTTTTCCATATTTACTTAAAGCTTTTAGAGTTAAATACATTGTTTGATAACTATTAAGCTTATATCTAATGTTTTTAATATTGACTTACTCAACTAAACAAAGTAAATTTCTTCATTTAAATCTCTTGCCTACCTCTGATATTAAAATTAATATAGTAATAAAAAATTATTTTTTTTGTACTTACCAATTATATTATCCAATGTAATTTTATTTTCAATAAAAGAATTCAACATAGTACTGTATAATTTGTCAGCAGTAGCACCCGCCTTTGCACTCGCTGGATCTGTGAAAAGTTGAACTAGTTCCCAAAATTTTGTTTCCAATTTATTGAGTTCTCCATCATAGTATTTAACACAAATCGCCATATTTTTAACTGTTCCTATGTCTGTACTTTCATCAATTACAACACTAAATTTATACTTCTTTAGTTTGTTTGCCAAATCCTCATGGTAGCATTTACCAATTACATTTTTCGTAATTGCTGTAGCTTTTGTTCGGCCAATATTTAAACCTTTCGCTATGCTAGAATCAGTAAATGCTTCTTGGCATAATTTGCTTAAATGACCAATCGTATTGAAAGACAAATTATGTTCTGAAATAAACCCACAAAGTAACATTTCGGCTTTTTTGATTTGGTCTTGGAGTTTACTTTTAGAATCATCAATGAAGTATGAGTTTATTGTTTGTTTAATATTTTTAGTTGAACGGAGATTTAGTAGATGTTTTTGTGAGCTTTGGTGTTTTTTTAGAACAGTTAATTCTGCAGTTAACTCAAGACTACATAATTTACATTTACCTTTAAAAGGTTCACCTACAACTGGAACGAGCCAAATTTTAAAATCTTTTTCGTCCATCCATTCTGTGCGAAACTTTTGTTTTTTATGTGTTGGTTTCTTGGATTTTGAACCTTCATTTCGCGAGCGTTTGGTTTTCTCAGGGGTTCTATCCCTTAAATTGCTATCTTCGAAGTCACTCATACTTTGAAAATGTACGTCACTACTCACTACACTATAACACTAAGTCACTAATTCGTCGCTAGAGAAGTAGAGAATGACAAATTGACAAATGACAATGCAATAAGAAATATGAACAATATAAATATTAAATGCAGAATGGGTATTGAATTCGGCAATTCGGCAATCGGGTTCGGGTAATGTCGTAATGGCCAATTATAAAGGTTAATAATAGATACCTACTAATAATTATATATTTTAGGTATACAAATATTATATAACCTGAATGGTATATTCTCATTTCTCAGACAGTCAGACCGTATGAAAATAGTCTGTGGCACGAACATATTATATATATATATATATATATATATATACTATAATATAATAGTCTGTGCCCTGTGGTATATTGGTATAAGCTATTCTATTTCAGAGATTAATTTTATTTGTTTGTCTAATATTTCTTAGAACAAATTAGATAGCGACATGTAATTTTATTTATAAATTTAGAACCCGTCTTTTTCAGAAATATCTAAAACAATCGATTGCAGAAATGTATGCGAGTACATTTCAAAATTATCGTATCGAGTACGATCGCCATCCTTTACATCGATGGGGGATCGTACGGGGAGCAATATTATCGTATTCCCCCACCAGGATCGTACCATCTGGCAACACTGAATTATTATAACTACTATCTATAGATATATAGTCTGTTCATTTTAAGAAGCGATTCAGGCGGCCACTAGTAAAACCGGTTTTCAAGCGTAAATCAGGTCGCTTCTTATTTTGAACAGGGTATAGTATACCTACTGTAGTTGTAGTAGTGTAGTATCAGTATCTATACTGATCTTTTCTTCGTGCAATCTAGAATCCGGATTTCAATTAGCTTTACTAAAGTTTTGTCACTAAGAGACTCATAAAATCTCACGTACCTACCTACCATACGCGCAAATATGGGGGGATTTAGGGGCCAAGCCTCCTCAAGACTTCATTATTCAGCCTCCCCAAATCTTAAATGCCATTTGCGCCAATACGCTACCTACCCAAACATAATTTATTTTAAGAAATATCCTTCTATACCTATCAGAAGGTATTTTTCCAACGAAATTTAAACTAGCGATAGTCAAACCACTCTTCAAAAATGTAAACAAAGAAAGTATGAGTAATTATAGGCCAATTTGAATGATATGCAATTTTTCTAAACTTTTAGAAAAAATTGTGAAATCTAGATTAATGAGTTTCCTGGAAAAACATCAGCTTCTCTCTAAGAACCAATTTGGGTTTAGGCCAGGTGTAGGTACTGTGGATGCAATCTATAGTGTTTCTAGGCATATATATAAAGGGCTGGATCGTGGTGATAAAACTATAGGGATTTTCCTAGATTTCGCCAAAGCATTCGATACTGTCGACCATAAAATCTTGTTAAAAACATTTCCAAATATTGGAATAAAAAATAATAGTCTAAGCTGGTTTGCAAGTTACTTAAAGGACAGAATGCAAATGGTTATGGTAAATGATGTTTTGGGGAAAGAACTTGTATTAAACTGTGGGGTTCCTCAAGGAAGTGTTTTAGGCCCAATTTTATTTATACTATATATAAACAGCATTTGTGACTTGCAGACGGATGGTTCAATATTTACATATGCAGACGATACATGTCTACTGTACTCTGATACATCATGGGACTCAGTCTATGCTAAAGCATCTACTGGACTAAACCAAATTATTCGAAAACTAAATACAAAAAAAATTACTTTAAATTTAGATAAAACAGAATTTATAGCTTTTTCTATTTACTCCTGTCAAAGCCCATTTGATGAAATCGATATCACAGATAATATATGCAACCATAATGGTTGCAAAATAAAAAGGGTAACTAGGGTAAGATACCTAGGCCTAATCTTCGACCAAAATATGAAATGGCAACTCCACATAAACAGTATGACTATGCGAATAAGGACAATTATGTACAAAATATATTGTTTGAGGAAAATAATCTCACCAGATACTATGCGTATAGTATACCTGTCTCTCTACCAAGCTATTTTAGATTCTGAGTGAAACGATGAATGTATTGATTTTACAATGATGTGTGTTTTTTTTTAAATTTTTTTTTGTGTCTGTCATCACGTTTTAGGACAGTAAAAGTGCTTGGATTTTCTTTAACTGTAGCTTTTCTGATAGGAAAGTGAATCTAGTTGGTACTTTGGGGGGTCAAAAGTAAAAATTTCCCAATAGTTTTCAAAAGCGCCGTGAAAAACAAAAGAAAAATTAAGGAAAAACGGGAATTTTTACGCAAAATCTGTTTTCCAAAAAATCGATTTTGGTTTTTGGTGTAACTCTAAAACAAATGAACGTATATACATAAAATTTCCACTGGTTGTTTATATTTGCATTTTCTATACACGATAACATTTTCAAAATATTTTGATTTATTTTGAACTGTTTAGGGACATTTACATTTTCCATTATTTTTAAGTTTTTTTTCTAAAAATATCAATAAAATTTTATTTGTTTTTTGCGAAAGCTTGAAAACTTAATAGAAGGCTCCTAGTATATTGTTTCAAAGGCAGATGAAAAATATTAAAAATCCTTAGTCACAATTTTTTTTTATAAGCATTTAAAGTTAAAAAATTGACAAAATATGGAAAAGTCACGAAAATTAGCAAATATTTTGAGTTAAGAATTCGTAAAAGTTTTTCTTTTTAAATCCAAGATTTGAAAATGTAATACAAAATTCCTTATAAGATTATCTACCTTTATCAAAAAAAAATTGTATATAAGAAAGTCGAATTAAATTTTTATGAGCGTTTGAAATTCAAATTTTTACAACATTGGATATTCACTAGATTTCTCATGTAGCGATTTTTGGGCCAAAAAGTGTAAAAATTTAATACAAGCCTCCTGATATATTGTTACAATAACAATTGAAAAATATTAAAAATACATAGGCACAATTTTTTTTTATAAGCATTTAAAGATCGAATTTTTACAAAATTTATCAAAATCTCGAAAATTATCAATCATTGTAATTAATAAATTATAAAATGTTCAGTTTTTATAGCTAAGGATTGTAAATTTAAAACAAAGGTTCTCATAAATAGTTCATAGTGTAACCAAAAAATCTAAAAAATATATGAACACAGTTATTTTTTACACACATTTTAAATCCAAATTTGGACGAAATTACATATTAAAATCAATATTAACGATCTTGGTTTTTCGTTGTAATTTAAAAATAGTATTCGGGGATATATGATACCTAATGGATATTGTGATATGATTAATTTGGAATTTATTATAGGTATCTATTATAGGTCAATTTTTTTTTTAATACCATCGATAAGTATATATATCTTATACCTAGATTGACATACCGTCTCCACTCAGAATCGTTTTTCTTATACAATGATATAATATCATTGAATTCAAATTGAATACCATCCATTATATACAGTGACCTACTTGTAACCTACAGTACAGCAGATCGACATCCACTTACCCACCTTTTTCAATATGGTATAATTGCCTGGGGTGGTACATATGAAAATGCTATTAAGCCTTTAACTATACAGCAAAACAAAATAGTTCGTAAATGCCTTGACAAAAACAAGTTAGAAGGATCAACTAAATTAAATTATAAATGCTTGGGCGTTCTACCTTTTAATTTACTTTACAAAAAATTCGCGATCATGTTTCTTTTTAAAAATTCTCCTATAAATGATATTGTATATTCAAAACGTAATAGAACATATGACATCTCAAATAATTACACTAAAAAAACTATTGGACAAAGATTCGTTGACTATTTTGGACCAACTTTCTTCAATGCAATGCCGTTCGCTATCAAGAAAACTATAAGATCAAATCCCAAATCTAATCATAAAATAATAATCTACAATTGGCTTCTACAAGAAATATAATCTCTAGACTCTAGCTTTTAAGGAATGTCTAAATATTATGTATGTACAATTATGTGTAATTATGATGTTATTAATTTCATTCTTTTGTACTTCCTCTTTTATGTTTAATTAAATGTCGAATGTCGATTTAATAAAATTGCTGATGTAATTAGTAATTAATATATGTATATAATCTAAGTTGTAACATGTAACTCTCTACTACCAACTCAAGCTCTGCTTAAAGGTAGTAGATATAACAATGTTTTTTGTTTTATTTAATAATAAAAAAAAAAAAAAAAAAATCCTTGAATGTTATCGAGATATGATTATCCCCATAGACATATTATTATATTAATAAAATATTTATATATGTCTATGGTTATCCCCCACAAATTTACGTACACAAATATGTTAAAAATTGCTCAAATATACACAGTGGCGTAGCCAGGATTATGAAATGGGGCAGTGACGTAGCCAGAGGGGGGGGTCCATGGGGTCCCCCCCGAAATGTAAATGTCATCGACGACATTTTTTTTAGAATATGCGATGAGTGGAACCAAAATGCTAGTGTTTTTACAATGATTTTTTTTGTACTGGTAAACCTAATAATTAACTATAATATGTAATGGAAAAAATTACAAAATAGTACGGTTAGCACACACATAAATATATATATGGGTACTCGTATAACGTATACGTATACCTTATAGCTGGGTATGAGGTAGATACATATATATAATATATATATATATACAAATATATAAGTACATAGACGATAAACCCTCGTATAAACTATAAACTTCATAATAACCATGTTGATAAGAAATGACACAGTCAGTACTCAGTGGCGTATTTAGGTGGGGGCGACTTGGGGCAATTGCCCCGGGGTGCCAAATTCTGAGTCCTCAAAGGGGCGCCGTCGCTAGAGGTTATAACAAAATTATTTTTTTATTTTATCGGATTTGTTGAGAAATTATATTAGTGATAACTGATAAGTGAATATACCTGTATATTTCTTACGTATAATATCTTTTATATTTATATACATATTTCTATATAATATATATATATATATAATGTACTAGCTGATCCCGTGCACTTCGTTGCCCGTTAAATGTA